TGAATTTTGAACTCTGAGCATCTCTGCCTACTGCTCTTTCACATGCAGACAGGACCCTTGGTTGAGTGTTTATTGAACATATATATGTTATGCTGCCACATAAATACTGTTTTATTGACATTTCCTAGCTAAATAAGTCTTGGCTGTTTAAAATTCATCACGCAATAGTCAGTGTTTGTAGAAAGGTGCTAAATAAAGAGAAGGAAGAAAAAAGAAAGGGAGAAAAATGCTTCAGGCAAAGTTTTCCATCACCTTTTTCTTACTGTAATTATCACCAGAAAGCATAGCAAAAAAATGGTTCAGAGCACAATGGTTTATCTAACTTGAGAATGTAATAAAGGTCTGATTCTGATTTTCTGATATTCTTCAGTATTAGTAAGAAGAAAGTCAGCTCCTCGGTATTCTACACTCTTCTATACCCAGTGTAAATGACACCAAAAAAGAGTGGGGACTGATGCCCTTGGGGATGTTAACCTTCTTTCCTATCAGACTGATCCAGCCAGTTTCCAATGTTCCCACTTCCAAGGAAGCACTCAGCTGCGCTGTTTTCATCAGCATCTCTGTTCTCAAATGCCTCTGTGCTCCAGGGGACAGTTTGCAGTCAAGGCAGTTTGCTCAGGAGGATGCTGTATATTTTGCTGACCATGGCCTCTACTCCCGCTTTATAGAGCAGAGAGAAACATCTGTGGAATAAGCCTGATTTTCTGAGGAGCTAGAAGTTATAGAAACTATTTCTAAGAGAAGCAAGGCAAGAACAGAGGAAAAAAGTAGGATAGGTCCGGGAGGGGACATAGGAGAAAAACAAGCCCTGGGTTGCTGCGCTTTTTATAGATGTAGAGGGATTGCCATTAAAATGTTGATGTTTGCCAAAGTAAATCAAATATTTATTAAGGAAATTGCCTGCTTGGGTGGAAAATTGGAGCTCTTCAGAACCAATGATGTGTTTACCTGGAGCAAGTGGAGATTTTTTTTTTTTCAATAATCCCAAAGTATAAACAAAAGTAAAACCCAGACCTTGAAAGAACATACTCAGAGCAGTTCCTCTGCACTGCAACATTTGGAGATAACCCAGGTATTCCAACATTTGATATTTAACATAGCTCAGCTTCCCATTTGGACTTCTAAACCCACTGCTATAGGTAATGCAAATAAAACAGGATGTGTTGCACAACATTCTGATGGTGATGATTTCTGCTTTGTTTTACTGCTCTGAAGCATATTATCTTGCAAGTATTTGCTCCAATGCCTGATTATGTCTGATTGAAACACAAAAAACCCACCAGCATATTCTTGCCGGGAACTGTAATCATTTAATTGAATTACTAGGGGTTTTTTAATCCACTAAAAGGAATCATGCCATTTTAGTCTGAAATGCCTTTACTAGAAAAAAATACAAGAAACAAAAAACACCCACAAAAACTTTTGTGACAGAAATTCCCCATGTTTGTTTGCTTTGAAACAGTAGGATTTTATCAATTCTGCCCTAGTAATATCTCACTTGCAAAGAAACTCTTTAGAAATCAGAAGGCTGAACACAGAGAAGATCAAATGAAAATTGCATCAATGCAATTCTTCTTTACCCAGACTGGAAGCTGTTCCCACAGATGTTTTGTAAAATTTTTTCCCCCACTCAGTTAAGTGAAGAATTATCTTGGTATTTTTTGTCTATTTGTGAGAGTCCTTGAATTTGATGTAGAAACACACATTGATGCACTTCTCCGAGATGACTTAGTTTGAGGGTATTTTCACTTGAGCAGCAGGTTAAATATAATAATGCTTTGAAAAAAAAAGATTTTTTTTTTTTACAGCTTTTATTCTTTGATGTCATTGGTTTTTTTTAGATTCTTGTACAGCTGATTTGTTATGTTTTGGAGCATGATCATGAAAACTGTGTGGTTCATGGTTGAGGAAACAGCTGTGAACAGATGGAATATTTTATGCCCATTCCTGTTGCAGAGTCATACATTAATTTGTTTGAATGATCATCAGAGATGAAAATTTTCTCTTGTCAATGTGAGTTGAAAGATACTTTGACCTATAGTAATCTATACAAGGACTGGACATTTTAGAAAGCACAAAAAAATAGTAGTGAAATTCCCAGTTTAAAGAAACTAAACCTCTGAAATTCAGTTGTCAAATTGTGTCTCAAAAAAAGATGTGATGAAAGCTAACATGCTATTATTTTTGCAGCTATAGCAACAACTTTAAAGAGGCAACAATTGCATTTCCAAAGTTATGCAGTATTTATATCAGGGACACCCTTCCTCTTTCATTGGGTTAGTCTGTCTAACTTCCTGCTTCCACCTCCTTTATAAATATAGTTACCTTTATTCAGGCTTATGCTTCTGCCCCTCCAAAGTGCTGGTGTCTCCCTGCCCTCTCAAATGTAGTAATTCTTATCTGTTTTTTCCCATCAAATCCTTACAGTTCAAGCCATGCCAACCCTGTCCATCCCAACTCTCTGCATCTCTGCCTCACTCAGTTTGTCCTCTCACTTTTTAGCCAGCTCCCTCTACATCTATTCAGACCACTCAAAAACCCTACTCTTTTCCATATATCACTGGGGCTTATCCCTTTCTGCTTCCATTCCTGGTGTGCCCTACCAGCTGCAGCAACATGCCCCAGCAGAAATGTGCCCTTGCCACCACCACCCTACACCTGTGCTGCCCCTCACAGCCCCAGTCACACCTTGAAGATTCTAAATAGAACTGTTATTCACAATTATTTTTTTAAAGGTTTATAATTTAATGACCTTTATGTCATTATCTTCTAAGTTCTGTCATTAAAATTCCTGAAGTACCAGAGGGAGAAAATATTAAGAGAAGAAATTCTAGCTGTGCATCAGCACATCCCAACTAGATTTGTGCTCCTTCTATTATTCTTGTTTAATGAAGGTTGATGAAATGTGGCCTGGTTGTATACATGTGAAAACTGCATCTCATTAGTTGATAAATCTTATAAATGTGTCAAAGACTGTTACTTGTATTAATGTGCTAAGGAAAAGCTTCTATAATCATTACAAGATAATGAAGACATTGTGATCTTAGTTAAATCTATTTTAGGAAGAGGTAATGAACCAAAATTCATCTAAACTAAAAAATTTGAAAGCTATGTGTCGTGAGAGTTTGAAAAATGTAATGTCTTACAAGCAATGCCCAGACAATGTAACACAATGAATTTTGCATAGTATTTAGGTGCCAAGAAAAGACAGAGCATTCTATTTCAAAATGAAAAATATCAAATTACAGATTTCTGTAAATTCTAGAACAATGAGAATAGTAACAAGATAAATGAGAGGAAAGGCTTGAAATGGGAAGAAATTAATCTCTTAAAACTTTATGATACAATGATTTGCATGTACTCTTTCTGGTTTTACCAGCATTTTTGTTGGAAAAGTGTAAGGAATTCTGTGAAGATGTTACATAACCTGTACAGCACTTTTTCATCTAGAAAGGCTTGCTGCAATACTGACTTTAAGAACATGCCTACAGGGAAGTCAGAGCAGCACCCTAGAATTCTGCTTTTTAAACTCAGATTTGGGGCCTCCATTGTAACCATGGGAGATGCTCTGGCAGAAGTACTGCCTCGCTTGGAACAACCTCACACGACAAGATGTAACCTTCTTTTGGCCACTTTCACATCCCACTGTTTCCAGAAACAATGTTCAAGGTCCCTTTGAGAGCAGTAAAAAGTCCTTTGGAAGCAGTAGGACTGCCCACCTCAAGGCTGGATTGATGGCCAGGGAGAGGCAGCAGCCCTGTGCATTATCACTGCTCAGCATTGTGAGTGTGATCATCATAGTAACCATCACTACCCCATCTTCACTGCAGCTGCACCCATCCTTTGTAATGGCATGAAAAGATGTCAAAATGGCAGTCTTTCTTCTAAGTCAACAAAGTGGTCAGAGGTACCCTTGGACCACACAGCCCCTGAAACTCCTCGACACAATGATAGTGAAATTATGTAGTGCAGTCTGTATCCTGTTAACAAACCACAGGGCTGGAACTACACTGATGCATCCAAAATTATTTATTTCCAAGCAAGCAGCTCTGTGTGGTAGGACAAACTGTTCTGAGGATCATCTCAGATAACTCAGACCTTGGCACACAGCACCAACAGTTGCCATCTCCTTCTGCTGCCCTATAAATATGCTGTCACACTGCTGCCTTTTCCTCCTCTCACACTCACGCTTGCAAGTAGACATGCTGCCTCTCTATGCTTTCTCCTGACCAATCCTCAGGGCTGGCTCACCCATACAGCTTCTGAAACAGGGAGAGTTACATGACATCAGCTCAGAGTAACTACAGCTGGAAGGAAATGTGTTACCTTACCTGAGGATTAATGCAGTACTGCAAAGACTCTATGGAAACTGTCATAATTTTAGGTGGTGACAGCATAACCTCCATATTCTTCAAAGTAAGAACAGGCCTTAAGTGTTCTGAAAAAGGATAAAATCTAGAAATATGGTTGCATTCATTCATGAAAATATCTGCTGAAAACCTAACACCATTAAATCAATAGTATTAAAATAAGCCTTAGTAATTCTGTACAAGCTAAGCCAGCCAAAAAGATTCTGAGAGGATTTTCACTGTTTGTACTCTCATAAATTGTTCGTTCCTAGGAATAATGTTCTAAATACAGAAAAAAAAAAAAAAAAAAAGTCTTGAAGAAGAAGTTTTATAATGCCCCCTAAACCTGTAAAATAACAATGCAGAAGCTTTTCTTCATTTTTTAAAGTGTATCACAGAATGCTGATGTGTAGACTGGAATTATGTTCTCAGGAATAAATCTCTGGAACTACCTCTGGATCTTATGTCATATTGCATTCATTACAGCAGCATTTGAGCACTTTCCAACTACTTACTGTACAAATAATAATCTCTGTCTCCTTTCCACAACAGGGCAGTGCTCATATTCATTGTCAGTTTGTGTATCTGGTGTTTGTAAAGCGTGTACGGCAGCTTGATGCTGTTTCTGTGTACAATTTACAATAAGTATAATAAGAAATAACAGAAGTGAAGCAATTGGTTTGTTTGGGTAAGACTGTGTATACATTCAAGCCTGGGAAATTGAATGGGCAAGTATTGCATTTGCTTTTCAAAGCAAGTATTATTTATCACACAAGCATGTCTCTCATTTTGTAGAGGCAGATTATCATCTCTACTGCTGGAGATTTCTTGTCACACTGGTTCAATCCCATGAGCATGTCCTTTCTTCTAAGATAAACCCTCCATGAAATACTGGTAGTGAGATTTTGATTTCCACAGTCATTTAATAAAAAGTACTTCATTATTCATTCTATACAACTCTCTCTGGAAACAGCAAGCTCTCTTTTAACAGGGAGATGCTTCAGCAGTAAATCATAGGATACCAAACAGGGAAGATAAAACTTGTGAAGAACTTTTTAATTAAGAGAATGGATGAACAATTCATAATTAATTATTTGGGAATTAATGCCACCTCAATTTATCATCAAATGTTTGCAAAGGCCATACATGCACTTGTATGCCTTTTACAGCCTTTACAGTCTTTAGGGTCACTACTGAATGCTGGCCCAATCCAATACAGTATGACAGATGTAGTGAGGTCATGAGTTCTTTGTTGACTGCTCTACAGAAATTGCATGAAGGATAATGTCAGTAATAATTTAAATGCTCAGTTCTTTATGCATAAAAGGACCGGGAAATTAAAACTTTGTGCCTATTTATTATTTCAGTGTGACTGGCTGTAAATTGTTATGCAATGATTTGTGGAATCTCTGTAGGTACAATTTGAAAATAGTTTGATATTATTAATTCCCTGTGTTTAATTCATGAAGACTACAATTTCACTTCACATACAGAGTTTTCCTTCCCCCATCATTGGTTGTTTTATCTCTTCATTTTTATTTTGTTCTGAAATTCTCAAGGATGGTGATTCAGGGCTAATAGCTGGGCAGGAATGCCATCTTTCTGCCAGCGTGTGTCACATAACCTGTTATGGTGACATTGGGCAGCTATTCACTGCTAACTTTGTCACTCATAAAACCATACATGCAACATTACCGAGGTCCTTCCTCTACCAGATGTGCACTATTGCAGACTTCTGGCCATGTGGTGGGACTGTGCACAAGCATCAGCTTCTCACACGTCTCAGACCGCAGCAAGGAGATCCTAGGTATGTCAGCTGCAAGGAATACATTTCATACTCAAGATGGAAGAGCCCATTCAATCTTTAGAAGGGAAAATGTTAGGGAAGAGGCTATGAGCTCCCAGAGCAATTCATCCAGTCCAGCTCAGGCTCTTTCTATCTCCAGGCTAACCACAAAAAAGGAGTCAGCATGAAAACCACAGAATGGCTGAACTCTTCCACTTCTCTTCTTAAAGAGAGAAGTAGCCAAGCAGGAAGTTATTGAGTGGGGATGTGGATAATCTAAAAAGGCAAATAAAAGTTTTAATTGACGCAGAAGGTTTTGGTCTAAATATAGAAAGAGAGATGAGTCTGGGAGGGGAGGCAGAAAGATAGTTACATGCCAGAACAGAGACCCTGAGGGAAAAGAGATACCATTGCTGCAGAAAGAAGATTCTGGGCATTCCAAGCCCAAGGAGAGTTCCAAAGGAGAAAATTGGAGTATGTGTGTATAGACGGAGACATTCTGGTTCTGATTTCTCGTGCAAGGTAACAAAGTGTTACCATTTTCTAGACCACTTGCTACTTGCATATCCACACAGCCAGAGCTTTGAGAAACAGTGAGGAACAGTGTGTGAGGGATCATCATTGTTCCTGGCTAGTTCAAGCTTCTAGACATTTAAAACCTGTTTCTGAGAAAGATGCCAAGGTTTCATAGACAAAGTTTATCAGAGACCAAGGAAACAATACCAGAATTACTCAAGTGGTAGAAAACTTTAAAGAACAGAGAATCAACAGAAGCCATCCAGTGTGGTGTATATCCAGCTTCTTTAAAAGTTCACATTTTTCCATCCTTCAAGGATCCTCAGAATGTCTCAGTCAAATGCAACCTAGATAATGAGAACCAGAAGCAGCAATCAATGAATTCTCAAATGACAATACATTTGCTTCTAGTGTTATAAAACCAGCTTCTGTATAAAGGCATTTAATTTAGATATGTCAAAATATTTTGAGAGTTTCACATAGTATTCTATACCAGTATTTGCCGTACCTGAGGTTTCTCATGCAACTTTTATTCAGATCAAGAAGAGAAAGATTAAGTTAAGCCTTCAGGATTTGTGGGAATTTATGCCTCACAAATCAACAAGATCTACATGCTACATGTAGGCCACTCCTTTGGGCTTGCATATAGGTAGAATCTCCTGGAAAAGCTCTTTTTTTCTGATTTGGGGATTTTTGGTGGAGGAAATCTGAGGGATACATCCATTTTTCTGGAGTTTCTGTACTGCTGTAAATACAAAAGTTCCTGGGCTTTGTTGTCTTTGCATAACCTAACTCCAGAGCACTGGCTTAGCCAACTCTAGAACTGGATAGGCTGCTGGAGATCTGCTGTAGAGCAAATCCTGTATGTCCAAGCTGCCTTGATGTTCCTATACACAAAAAAATCAGCACTATCCCCAGAAACAGTAGATACAGCCTGAGTAGACCTCAATAGCAGAGATCTTCCTGCACATTTACCATGAGGTGCATAAACAAGTACTGACATTTCCAACACTCAGATTTCACCTCTCCTGCCCAAAAGCATAAATCAGCTTCCCATAGAGCACCAATGGTTAGATCTCATGGCTAAGAGCTAAGAATATACTGAAGGCAAGATTGATGTGACTCACCTCCCTCAGTCCTCACGTAAGTTTTTTTAAGAAAAGTTGTTTCCCTTCTTATGTCCTCATTCTTAGGGAGACCTTCACTGTGGTGGGTCCTCAGGTACTTGTGCATAAGGACAAACTACACTGAAGGAGCAATAGTAAATGTTTCCATACAAACAATGACCCAGGATAGCATTCTCACTCAACATAATGGAGGTAATTATACAGAGGAGCTGGGTCCAATTCATGACTAGAAAAATGAAGAAAAACAAACTGATGATGTTCAAAATACTTAATTTTTTTTCCATTAGTCATTCCTACTGCAACAGACATGCTATTTGTTCCCTTAAATATTTTTTTTCTCTCTGTTGGCCAAAATATTTGTGTCTGGAGCACTGCAGTACCCCTGGCTAAGTGACTAGAATAGTTTGCCAAATAATGTCTGTGGACAAAAAAGCTGGGATGAAAAACAAAATGTTGATGCTGGCCTATAAACAGGAGTCAGGTTTTTAAGGTCAGCGAGAGGTAAGTGGTTTGTTTGTTCTCATGGGAGTAAGTATTAAGACTCTGAGGCTTAGAAGGGAATTAAGACCAGGTGTTTCATTTTCTAAGGAAGTGATGTACTCAGCAAGCTATTCAGTAATCAGAGGGGGCACATTCATTTCACCACCACCTAAAAAAAAGAAAGATGTGTTGTTTTTTGAAAGAACAGCTGCAGATAAAGATCCCTCCATGCAGCAGTTTCTTCACTTTGTTCTCACCTACCTTTAAATACACAGCAGAGGTACCTAAGCTTGTATCTATGTTTGGTTGAAGGTCATTGGAGGCAGCCAGAAAGCTCAGTTCAGAGGCTAGATATGATCTTTTTCTCCTAGAGATGCAGGACTCTGGTGACTGTAAAAGAAGCACAGGCACTACAACTGCAAGGTTAAAGTTGATAGAATAAACACAGGTAGGAGTACAAAGGTTTTTCAGGTAACTCCCTGGGACATCCAAATGCCTTCCTGGTTTGAACAGAAAAACACAGACATAGCTTTCAGCTTTGGATCCCATCTTGTGAATTAAGGACTTAAAAGTCATGCACCTGTCTTCTACTACATCTGTCTTTTTTTCTCCTCTCCTCCCTGTTAGTCAGCTCCTCAGTCAGCTTCAAGTTTCACAGATTTAATGAGGATATAGATAACACCTCGTGAAAGAGCTCCTGTAGCAGGGAGATTGGTCAGCACGCTGTGGTCTGCCTCAGAATCTCAGTGCAGCTTTTGTAAAATTACTGTCACCCACTGTACCGAGCACAGCCATTTACAATTGTGGAAATTCAAAGGGTCATGGAAACACTGTCAGGGAGGCAGTCTTCAATAACAAGTCATGGTGAGAGCGAGTCACAAACAAGCAGCCATCGTTAAGAGCTGTCGACCCAACAGGTAGGTACAAGAAATAACAGAAGAAAAAAAGAAAAGAGGAAAGGTGGAGGGTAATGCTAAGAAATCAAGCATTTACAAGACCTGACAAAGTATGTAACTGAGAGATTTTAATTGGATTCAAGGTGTTATTCAGCTCTTCTGTGACTAACCTCTGTTCAATCAAAGGCTGATTTTTAGGGTTATGAAGAAGTTAATACTTGCACAGTAATGGACAATTGATCCTGAGCCACAGGACTTGTACAAACACTTTCCATACATAGATGCTTATTCATTTTGGTGGCATTTGCTTACCCAAACCTTTCAGACAGTTCATGATATTTCAAAAACCAATAAAGACATTCAGTGCACAAATAAAAAACAATTAAAAAATCTATAAATTATTTTAAGAAGCCAGTTGTATCCCTAATATTCCATGTTAATCAAAGCAGAGAGGAAAACAAACAAACAAAACAAAAAAAGAACCAAAAAAACCAAAAAAAACCCAAACAAACAAAAAAACACAACAAAAAAACCCTGACCAATGATGTATTAAAATCCTGAATGTAGTATAGTCATTATTGGTTACAAGTAATTTGAAAATTCTTACAACAGTAACGGACAACTGAGTGGACTAAATGTTAGTCCAGGGAATTAACCTGTATGAGTTTTGTGGACTAGATCCTAGTAATTAGGGGAGGTGGTATTTCAGAATGTGTGCATCCTATATGCATTCGGGAACCTTTTTAGAGTTTGCAATGTTACAAAAACAGGAGAAGGAGAAGGGGAATAATGAAGATAGGTACAGTTCAGTTCAAGTCAGCACTCTTTCTTGGGGCTGCATTCCAGCAGGAGAAGCTGATATCAGACACTTTGTATGCAGTAGCACTTAAGCCAGGAGAATTGCTGAAGGGGTGGAAGCTAGAGAGAACAGGATTTACCAGGAGATCAAGTCCCATCCCTCACTGCCGTGGTCACAGCCATTTGGCCACACAAGTCTTACCTGATCCACGGCAGAGTCTCCCTGGGGGCAAAGGAATCAAAACCTGGCCACATCTTCTGATGTCTTTACAGTCTTCAGTTTTACCATGGCTTCTTGACATATTACCTGCTGACTGCCTGAATGTAAAAACACATTTGTCATTATTAATGTTTTCTCAGCTAAAAATAATAATGACAAATGTGAAACAATTACATTTTTTTCATATAAAACAAACAGTATTATGCTATCTGTATTTCCTAATAAAAATTGCTAAATGCTCTTGTTGTGTAATAATGTCAAAATAACAATGACACATGAAATAAATCCAATTACTAAAGACTAAGAGAATAAAATTCTAAGAAAGAAGAAAAAGTATGATTATAACATTTTATTGTGTGTACATACTGACTACAATTACCACATAAAATTCTCATCTAAATCATCATAAGCTGGTGTGCCACATGTTCCAGTGTTAAGTGCCCAGGAACAGAAATTTAAGAGTTAGATGAATATTCAGTTTTCTTTTGCTTTTCGGACTCTGGAAATCTGCATGTTTCAAGATTCTTTTGTTAGCTTTCAAGAAAAAGGTAGATTTCGTGTTATCTGAAAGGTGGGAAGAGATAGCATATTTTAGCAAGCCTGAGGTACACGAGGCAAGTGGGGCTATTTGGTAGATCTTTGACTCCTCCAAAGAACCATTTCAGACTCCCCTGTGTCGCTGTTTCAGACATAAGGCTCTGCTTTACCATTTACAATGCTGCCATCTTTTGACGTCCATGGGCATTTATCTCATGATCCGTGGTAGTATTTTCCTTCAGCAACTTTTTGCACTTATATTTGCACTTGTATTTTTCTCGATGGGATTTATCTGACTAAACATACACACCTGCAATAACAGCACCATGTGAGAATTGCCTCAGGCTTCCTTGAAAATCACTGGAAGACAAAAGCACTTCTGGGGTGTGATTCACTTCTACTCAAAGTAGATAACCAATATATATCAGATGAACAGCACTGAAAATGCATTACTGTGCTTTGCCCGTGGCTATAATGGTATCTGAAGAGCGACTAGCTCAGGTGTAGAGATCACTAGATCACTGTCAGACTGTAAGTGAGCACAGAAAGACAGCAAAAGGAGAATTGCCCCTCTCCCAGTGGGGGAAGTTTTTAGAGGTGATCCTGATATTTAATTCATTAATATGTATCCATTTAAAAATGAGGCCACAGGAGCTACAGAAGAGAGATATGAGCTACATTTGACTCTGAATAAAAGTATTGGCATTTGGTCTAGAAGTCTGTCTCCATATTTGGCAGTAAAATTGTCTTAAAGATATTTTACCTCTATTTTACCTCTCCCCAGCTCTGCTTCTGGTAGCCTGTCCCTCAGAAAGCCAGAGGTAAGAGAAGTCTCACAGGTAGTTTCCCACACACAAACACAGCCACAGACCTTCCTCCTCCCCCACCCCCTCAAAAGGGGTATCTTTTGCTGTAAATTTTATGAATTGTAAATTCACATTATACAGGAGCTAGACCTAAGAAGGATTTGCTTTTAAGCCAAACAAAGAATTTTTATAATGATTGAAAATCTGCTACAAATAATGTAAAATATTATTTTGTCTTAGTAAAGAACAAATGGAGTCAATAATTGCAACAACTTGGACAGTCTGCAGTTCTAAACGTGACTTATTTTGAATTATATTTAACTCACTTCAGTAACACAATCTTTGCTAAAATAATGCTGATGTCTAAATACAAATTTGCACAAGTTGTGCAGAACCACACACTTGGGTGTCACAGATGTATGATTCTTGAACAGCAAGAGAACAACAAGAAAAATAGGTTACTGCCTACTTTCCAACTTCCAGTCATTGCTACTGTGTGCTAGAAACTACCTCCCCTTCAGATCTGATGCCCAGAATGCTTTTTCAGCTTATGTAAGTGTACTGCAGATTTAAACTTTCTACACCATTTTTTTTTCACAAGCCTCCAATCATTAAACTCACAGCTTCTTAAAGAATTAGTTAATGAAACTAATTGGCTAATTAATGAATCTGAGTAGCTGACAAATGTTCTCTAAGACTTGACAATTGCAAATGCTGTTTCTTATGAAGAGATTTCCGTACTCTAATAGGTAGTCTCGTCCAACATTTTGTTTTCTTGCCAGGAAACATTTCCCAGCAAAGAGTGTCCTTATTTTTAGCCTATTGGAGCAACACTGAAAGCTGCAAGGAACAGAGTCATGGAAGAAAGTAGTTCAAGGGGGACATGCTGCATTGTGGGGCAGCATTGACAAAACTGATCAATAAAACCAAGGCTCCCCTGGGATGCTTCTGGCCCTCAGCCTGTGAGCAATCTCATGCTGGAATCAATAGGGGCTACGCTTTCATCACAAAATCATTCATTTTGAGAAAGAAATTGCAGGGATATTCACTTCATTCTAGACTCAGTTTATATTTTTTTATGTTTCATGGGTGTAGAAAAAATGTATTTACCAATCAAAAATAAATCTGAGACCTTCTCTACTGTTGGGTTGTGGGAGGTACCACATAAGGGGGTTTCCCTTAAAAGCAAACCTTGCCAGGGTGCTTCTTCTCCTCTGATAAGATAGACTTTAAACCCATTAAATATCTACATGGTCTTCCAAGGAAAACACAGCTTACACAGCAGCAGATATCTTGTGAAGTGAAAGATTCAGAAGTGATCTAGGAAAAGTGATCAGGTAAAACACAGAGGAAGAAATTAGTTTTCAGCAAACAAGAAGTACTTATTTCATTGTTTAAAAAATGCATATAATCAGAGGTTTATTTAATGTGATATTTCTGTAGATCCTATAATTTTTTCTGTGCTTCCAGAAAATAACTGTGCAAGTGCAAATATGCATAAGTAAGGCAGATATAAGGAAATAAGCAAGAAGCAGTGAACCAGAAGAATGTCATTTTATAAGTAAGACTACCCAAAAAAGTAGTCTTTCAAACTGAAATTTTACAAAACTACAAAACATTACAATACTGATTGCATTTTCAAAATCTACCTAGCAGCATAAGACATTACTTGAAGTCTTTGCCTGAGACTGGTAAGTTTAACAAAATCAGCACATATGCTATACCTTTGTGCAGGTTTCCCTGATGCCTTTCTCCCATACAAGGTGCAGCAGTTCAGCAATAATGCATGCCTTGATTTTAATATATATGCAACATAATCACCTATCAACATAATTTACTCCAAGAAAAGATCTGCACAGTCCATCACCACCTTTTCTGAGAGTGGCCCCTGTCAGTGTCTTCAAGAACGAACAGGGCAAGCATAGAGAAGCTCTTTCTTAGTGCACCAGGACTTCTTAAGCCAGAACTGTATCTTGATGACTAATATTTGACTGATCCCTTTTTTAACCTACTGACTCTCCAAGATAACCTTGATGTGCTGCTGTCCACAGCCTTCAGCCGTCAGCGTACCATGTGTAAAAGCAGATACCAATGACCACAGATCAGAGCAAGAAAAGCTGAGAGTCTCTGACTGCATTGGGTGCCCATCAGACAAGGCAGGCTGGTAATTGTATAAAATACTCCTTTCTTGGAGTCTCTTGGTGGTCTCTATGAGTTTTTTGGCCATCACACAGGGAAATCACAAAACACATGATAGAGAAGCCACTAGGATTTTAGAAGTGGTGACTTAGTGCTCTTAATATGCTGAAAATATGTTTACATCCTACCATTTTTACCACTTTTAAAGAAGATTTTGTGAACTATTAAATGTGACACCCATACCAGGCAAAATAGACATTATTTTTTAAAATAACTTCAGTAGCTATGTGGGAAATAAATGTAACAATCTATATGAATGAGACTCAATATGAAATTTTATTTCACAATGGGCTTTTTTAATTAATTTTTTTTAATTTTTTAATTAAAGCAGGTAACAAAGGGAAGTTGTCTCAATATGATCTGCTGAAATTTTCAGCAGGCAAGCAGCTAGAGCAGTAAGCACACCAGGAAAGCTGAAGAACAGGAATAATGGGTAGATTTCTTGTACCAGAAGTATTAATTAAAAGCAGAGAAGAGAAATAGCCTTAGTAGAAGAAGCCCTATGGGATCCATTATTGACAGGATCAGTAGTATACACCATACTTATGTGTTACAATCCATCCATTGCTGCCCAGAGAAAGGCACAGACAATGCAGTGGCACGGTCTGTTGATACTGGGCTATTCAGTATGGTACAGCTGAGGGGTTTATTGACCATGAAGAAACACACAACAACA